GAAATAAAAACCTAACTACAAAGTCACTTTTTTCATAGTAAATGGAAGCGGCTAGTATCTCAAAAACAGAACCCAGAACTCTCCACAAATAAAATATTTGAATCTGAAGAGAGTTTAAATGAAGACAACAAGATTGGGAAGGTATTCTTCACCGACCAACAGTTTCAATTATAGACTCTCATTGACTTAGAGTCAAATAATATTCTAAACTTTTACAACAAACAACAAATAAGTTGAAAAGAAAACAAAAACAAATGGCATATGATCATTTACGATTAAAGATGTTGACGACACAACCATACCTGCAATGAGGTAAAGTCAGAGGAACCGAAAAGGTGAACGAAAAAACCGACTAGAAAGACGGGAAGCAAGAAGAACTGAAGATAAAGCCAAAACCAAAGGTTAGTTTCAATACTAAAAGTCAACTCTCATTAGCTGGTATGGGTTGGCGTCAAAGGCTTTTGGCAGCAGGTGTTATGTAAAGTAAAGAAAAAAATATTTTTTTTTTTAAAAATGCCCCCATCATAGAAATGGATAGAAAATCTAGCTAGAATAAAAGCAGAGTTTCAAAGAATAGGTTTGGAGAGTTTGCGAGAGAATTTTAATATAGTAAGGAAGACCCAATAAAAGTCTATGAGCAAATTGTCTGGTCTTCGCTACGAAATGGACTTAGAAACAGGCAGGTCGTGCAAATTATCAAACAGACTAGAGAGTTAGTATCAGAAGAAGCGTCTTTATGGACTGCCTTTCGTATGTTAGTGAACCTCAAGTTGAAGGACACGAACGGCTTTGCCAGATTCTAACTGGAAACATAACGAAACAATTGCAATCCTTTGAGAAGGAACAAAAGGAAAAAGGATGAAGACCACATGCTCCCATGGAAAGAACAAGATATGCATAATGAAAAGTAACCGTGAGTTAAGAAGTCAGAATTACTCTGGTCGAACCTTTACAAGTAAACTTGACGAAGGAAAGAACAAAGAAGGCTTCATGGGAGTACTTGCTGCCATACAAGACGGAATAAGAAAGGAATACAAATGCTCAGATAACTATAACAGATTTGGAACGGTCACATTTACTCACTGCACATGGCAATGTCACAACAGCTGCAATGCTTCTTGACGCTGTTCAAGACTAACAAAGAGGAGAACAAATGGTTGACTCCGACTCAGACATTTTGAATGGCAATTGAAAGGAATTGCAATGTAAAATTTGAATGGTACAACCTAAACCCTCAAGCAGCTCCAGACAACATGCTGGATAACTTCCGTTCATAAATAAGTCTGACAATTGACTTGACAAGGTATGAATTTAACAATTCAATTGAAACAATTGCAATTGACCTTATTCTTAGCATGTTCAGGACTCATGGTCTTGTTACAGGAAGGAGAAGATAGAAGTATCTTGAGTCATGTGTGGAAGACAGGTACATTATCAGAGGTCATTGCAAAAATTTGCACCGTGGCAAATGTCAATATCCGAGTCAACAATACCGTACAGGCTAAAGGTTCTTCACAATGACGACTATGTTGTTGACGTTCCAAATTGCCATGGTTTGAGAGATTGTAATTGTCCGCAAACCAACTTCATGTTGAACGAAGTCTTATGTTCGGAAAAAGGCAAGTGCCACATTGGTCAGAGCTGTAAACATTCTTTTTTCGAGAAAAGGTTTGTTTGGGAAACCAATTCGCAGAATGACAAGCTGACAGAAACTTTTGTAACAAAAGAACGAAACAAACTTTTCATTGTTAGCAAGACAAAAGTTGTTACCTAGACAAAGTTCTAGTACAAAAGAAGTACACCCATTCCACAAGGGGGTTGGAATTGTTCGGGATGACAACGAAGCCAAGAAGAACTTCCAATGCAGGTTGCAAGAGAACTTCAAGAGCTATAAACAAAACTTCCATTGAGCTCCAAT